ATGTGTTCAATCTTTAGGTAAATATTTGTAACATTTTATATTTTATGCTCTCCCAAAACCGCCTGAGAAACGAACTATGCCGACACCACTCGATACAAAAAGTAGTCAAAATAATATTAATCGTTTCTAAAAATAAATATTGCAAGGTGTTAAAAATTGCAATGATCTCAACACTTTTAATCACCGCGACAAATGATTGACTTTATCGCCGCGTACAGATCTGCGCGTGGTAATAAACTGCCAAAAATTATACATATTCAAGGGCTCATTAAATGTTGTCATTTCACCATTTCAGCATTATGACAATTCTTAGAAATTAAATTCATATTTAATTAATCATATTACTGATAGTTATGAGTAGCTGTAGAAGTGGTTGATTAGTATCGGCATGTCTCTGTTTCACTTGCTTGTAACTGTATTTATATACGAATATAATACTCATGTATGTGTCTAACATTTATTTTTTACTTACATCTACTTAAATTCATATGAAATATCTTGAGTGATAAGATGAAAATTTCAACATTTCGAGTAGTCTAATACTTGATATTTCATTATCTTACTATTCTTTGAAAGCAAATAATTGATTACACTAGAAGAAAGAAATATTAAAAATTTAAAAAAAACTTTGTCTTCCAACGTCTCTAACTGAATAAATCTTTATAGAAAACTAGCAAAAAACTGGGGGTCGCTAGTAAGTAGTGGAGTACCCTTGAGACTGGTTCATGGTTCACAACGGATGATGAAAATGCGTTTTGTTTTGCAGAGCACCTCAGCCTGTTGCTTTCCATATTAAAACTTATCGAAAAAAGTGCTGCTATCATAAATTACTCTTTTTAACTATGAAATTGATATAATTCCCACACATCAATTTGGTTTTTGGGAAAAAACATGGCACAATTAACTGAATAATTAAACCGTATAACAAATGATGTTACTCAGCATAAAGCCTATTGTTGCTATGGGTTCTCAGCTAAATTATATATATATATATATACTTATATTGGCATTTTAAATAAATGAATAATAAATATAACAAATGATTTGATTTGATTCACAAAATTAAAAAAAAAATCAGCACCTAACACATTCCACTATATCCTTGAATACTATTCAACTGTAAATGTAACACATCAAACCTAACGAAATACCATACCTTGGCATTCACTTGGATATACGGTTAACTTGGTTGCCACAGATTAATGCCAAACAGATGCAGCTAAAGCTTAAATTTTTCAGTTTTTATTGGCTCTTAAGCACGAATTCTGAGCTCAGCCTTAAAAAAAAATCCTTCTTTATAATGCGACCATAAAACGATATGGATATATGGAATCCAGTTATAGGGTGCAGCAAAGCAGCAAAATAGGAGTAGAGATCTGAATATACGCATAATCAAAGGAGAAATTGAAATCTGCACACAAAAATACATATCAATACTGCATAATCATCTGAACCCTTTGGGCATCACCCTGGCCTCCGCAACAAGTCACATGCGACCCTTGAGCCAGCAGCCTATTCAAAGCCAATGAGCTGTTACCCCATCCGAAAAAGACAACATTTTTTTATACACGAAAAATTCAAACATTTTCTGAAACTTTAAACAAAAAAATACCCGTGCCTGGCCGTTTTGCGAGCTCAAACTGTTTATAGATTTTAGGGGGTGAAAAAAGTTTCACCACGATATTGGAACCGCCATTTTGAACTTTAAGAACCGGACATCAAATTCATTATTAGCTACCCCAAATACCCTTAGATACCGATTTCGATAAATTATGTATAAATTTTTATAAAAGGTTTCTTTCATTTAAAGGTTGTTTCACCACTAAAATCACAAGCGATTTGATCTATAAAAACGCCCAGACACGGTTATTTACTGAAAATGTTTGAATTTTTTGGTGTTATATTTTAATTAATTTTTAAGATTTGCCAAGATTTTGAGGCTTCTGTTATTGTAAAGATTGAGTAAATAAATACAGACGTTTAAAAACAAAAACACTAATGAATGGTATCAACATTCTTGGCATATGGCTATTTCGATAACCTTAAATCGTGTGACAGAAAGTTTTATTTATTTGTTAGACTATATGAATTTTTTAACAACTCAAAAATATTTAAACTACTTTATAAGAATAATTTCCTTTTCCATACAGTCGGGTAACCGATATTCAATTTCATCAAATTTAGCCTTTTCTGTATACTGAATTTTTTATAGTTTCAGAATTTTTCAGTGCAAAGCAACCTGTTTCTAAATATAAACCATATAATTCTATAGATTTAACATAAGTTTTGTTGTTAGTGTTAGCAAACGCTGGTCGAAAAGGGAGCTGTAGTCGCCTGAATTGTAAGGGAGTACCATCGGACGGAATGATAAGTGCGCTCAGAATCGTCGCTTCCTTCATTTCCCACTATAATTTTTGTGCACAGTTTCCGCTAATTGATATTAGTATACTTGGCACAACGAATTACTAATTTGATAACACTAAGTCCAAAGAATTCAAAAATTCTGGTGGATAATTCCTTCCCCAATGGTGTCTATTGACATCTGTGTGATGGATTCGCTTTCAGCGTTGGGCTTAATATTATGGTTGTATCATAGATAGCAAATTAGTTTGTTGTAGTGTGAATAGATCGCTCAATCAGTCACCAATGATCCCTATAATTGTTTTAAGTATTTGGAGAAACTCTGTTAGTCAATTCCGCTTCTGTTGTTACTAAATTACAGACGAGTAAATTTTAATGGTTTAATGAGTGCGATGAGATGTAGCCTTCAATATTCCTAAACGATTTTTTTAACAATCTTTGGCTCTTAGGCAATCGGAACAGTACTTACTTGGCCGTCGGACTCGACAATTTCATCGACATTTTCGACAATTGGCTTTCCACTCCACGAAGCATCTTTTACATCAAAATTACCGGAATGAAACCTTAGTTGTGCATTATTGACTGTGTTATTCAGATTTTCAGCCGCCTGGCTGGCACTTATCAAAGAAAACTTGTAGAATTGTAGGATAAATTTTATTTTCTCGGTGCTAGTGTAAATCTTTGGTAAAGCAAAAATTTAATCCAACGATCAGAAAACTGTCAGAAAAGTTGCTTTAGCCCGAAATTTCATCTCTCTAACGCCATCTAGCCGAGCCCGATCGGACTTATACAGCACGAGATACAGATAATGAACGCCACCTATAGCAAAATAATGGCTTACTTTTTACTATGCCAAATACATATATACGATAATATACAATTTTTCTGAATAGGTCGGTATCTGGTTTACTACCCACTGAAAAAAAGAGTAGTCTTCTTGTTAATCTTACTAAAAGTTACCTATGTACATATGTATTTTAAGTAAATCGAAACATAAATAGAATTTTTTGAATAGTTTGGTCCTTGATACAATTTTTGGAGAAAATAATAGTCTTCATGTTAATCTTAGCAAAATAATCTCAAATCAATAGCTCGTTAACTTTTGGAGTTTTGGGTTTTTTACTTACGAACATACGATTTTTAAATATTATATTATATATTGGTTTACTCAAAAAAAAGCGGCGATTTCGTAAAGAAAGTAAGCACATTTTCTTGCAATTTTCTAATGAACTTTAATCAAATTTTTCCGGCAACATCATTATTCCACGCTCATAGAACTTCTGGCCTTTATCTGTAAAAAACTGAATCAAAAGCGATTTTATAGTCACGCCATTTTCGAAAGCATTATCATTTAAAGAGTTCTGTAAAGATGGAAGCAAATGGTAGTCTGACGGTGAAAGGTCAGGGCTATATAGTGGGCGCATCAACAGTTCCCAGTCAAGCTATCTCAGTGTTTGGCGAGTGATCAAAGATGTGTGCCGAATTGAAATTCTTTCAATTCATGTGGTACCCAAATATCAAGTTTTTTACTAGTCCAAGATGTCGTATATAATTATGAATTTTCGATTTTGTTATAATTAACTCCTCTTCAATCACACACACACAGTTACATGACGATACGATTCGATTAAAGCGTTGATATCGTCAACATCACTTTGACTTGGCCGACCAGAACTTGGCTTATCTTTGACAAACAAAATTACGCGTACTTTTTATCAAAAGCAAGCTAAAAGTGACAGCTTATAACTGTCAAAGAAAAAATACATTTAAATAATCACAAAACTGTTTATAAAAAATGGTCTGTATAAAAAATCGCCAGTTATTCCCAATAGATAGATTACAAGATATTGCTCATACGCCACGCCGCACGCTTGCGAGAAATTCTTTGAAGTGGTATACACGAAAGCAAAGAAGACACACCCAAACTTTCGAATATATTCTAAAGCTGCACGCGGCTATAAGATAAATATTTCATATATTCAAGAGATGAAGATAGCTTAATCCCAAGAAACTTGTCAAGTTATTCGATTACCGACTTTTTACTGGTATAGTAAACCTGCTTGATTTGACAAATGGTACACATCTGATCAAAGTTGGATTTATCAGATCTAAAGCTGTACTAGTAAAGACCAATCAGTTTGTTGACTGTCTGCAAGATAGTTATGGGATAGGAGACTTACCCCATTTTCTATGCTCTATTTCTACGCGCTATGATTTTGTATACTACATTTTGCATTTGGTAACTGCCTGCAAAAGTTTTATTAATTTCCAAGTTTTTTTCCTTTGAAGGTTTTGCAAGAGTTTCCATTACTCATTCTATTCACGCCGCAAAAATGAACATTATACAGTTCCCTACAAATTTGTTTAAGCTCTGAGTTTAAACGTTTATATCGAAACACTTTTACTGACCAATTTTAAGCGTACTAATTAGTCCAACTAAATTTTGCAACTGGTAGCCAGGTAAGCGTCGTCTAGTTTGCAATTACCCAATAATTGCACAGTCGGCGGTCTGAGGGGCATATGTTAGTGAGACAATGCAAAAAGTCTGTGAAGCAAAAGAAAAACGAAAGAGAATGTTTAGCATTCAAATTTGGTATAAAAACTGCGCTGAAAAATGATTTAAGCACAGTTCGCTTTGATCTACCACAGCTTGTAAATTCGTTTGGAACAATGGCCCTTAAGGTAGGCCAGATTCGTGCATTATTTTTTAATATTTGCTTCTTGCCGAATTTTCCCTTAACTTTTTGTCGTTACAGATTTTCGTTGCATTCACATGTTGCCTGGTACTGGCTGTGGTTACTGCCTCACCATATGGACATCATGACCACGGTCATGAGGATCATAGCGCTTCCAGTCACGCCTCTGTACATTTGGTCTCACATGACGATCATCAGGACCATCACGATCATCATGGACATGGACATGGAGATGATGATGGTCATGACTCGCATGCTGAATACAAATTTAGCTATGGCGTTAAGGACAAGAAAACAGGCGATGTGAAAGAGCACAGCGAGCATAGGGATGGTCATAAAGTAACCGGACACTACGAGTTGCTCGAAGCGGATGGTCATAAGCGAACTGTCCACTATACAGCTGATAAGCACAGCGGTTTCCATGCTGTTGTACATCGCGAACCCACACACCATCACGTTCCTGACCATGGCCACACCAGCTACTATGGTGGGCACGCAGAGGTCGAATCCCACGATGGCGGACAAGATGAAGGACATGGTCATGGTCATGGTCACGGTCATGGTCACTCCAGTAGTTTCTCCCTTAAGCAGGAACATGGTGTTGCTTTCCATCATCATGGCGGAGACGAGGGTGGACATGGTCATGGTCATTAAAGGGCTGAATTAAGATTAATTGAATATGACGATTATGAACTGACATTTGTTTTTTGTTGTATAAAAGAACTCTTTGTTTTGAAACTTATTATTAATAAAGCAACTTGAAATTTATGAACTCGGGTTTTTTCTGCTCTAACTTTCAGACACTTTTAAGTTCAGCATGGCTTTTGGCTCACTCTATAAACTTTCTGGCATTTGTCTGCTCTAATTTCAGCAATCTACTCCTAAGTTGACACCATTTAATTCACCCATTGCAAGGTAATTTACGACTATTTTGCGGGGTAAGATACCAACTTTTATCTAGAATCTAAGAAGTTTATATGTTTACAATTACTAGTTCATCTCTCAGCATTTTCGCAAGTTAGTTGACTTGTCCTTTTGATGCGGTGAGGTACTACGAAATATCAACTGTCTTAATATACATCAGTTACACACTAGTTAAATACTAGTTCATGAAATACTTGGCCGCGAAAAGGGTTCAATATTTGAGAGAAGCTTAGGATTACTGGCGAGCTAAACATTTATGACTCGTACAACCGATTATTTTCTAATGAAGTACTACAAGCGACATGCTTTTGCGGCAAGTTTCAGGCTTAAATTCGAGCGGCCAGTGTTTCATTTGTTAGCCAGCCGGCTGGCCTTAATAGACTTGAGCGAAATATCGGGTGGGGGCTACTGCTGTGGAATTCGGTTAAAAACATTGATATCTCAAATGGGCTCGTTTGGTGATACTCAGGAGCCACCTCAAACTAGCCTATCTAAAGCCTTTCGTGCCTTGGGCTAGGAGATTTGGGTCTTATTGAAAGTTTAATAAACCGAAGTCAACACTTTAAAGTTTTTAACAGGTAATAATACTATCCAATCACCAAAACAAGAGAGGACTCAATTTGTGATGTAACTAACCTTTGGAAAGAGCATAAAAGTCACAAATTATTTTGTGAGCTCTGTTCCATCAAAAGAGTCCTACATCAAAAGTTTTTAGTTTTATTACATTTAATCACCTTTTATAGCTTTCGGGAATTGTTAAATATAATTTCATTAATTATTATTATTTTTTATAATGTATTCAGCATCTATAGTTCTGGCTTGGAAATCATTTGCTTGCTCGACCATGATTTCCTCGTTTTTAATTCAGGTATTTAACTTATTTTTCATCGTTCGAGATGACTCACTTCAGATATTGTCCGATGATCGCCTATCAGAAGCGTTTCCCTGATATTAAATTGATCAGTCTAATTTTTAGTGTTCATGTGTCTTCTTTGCTTAGCTTCTTTGAGTAGCCTTCTTTTATTGTTTCCAGGCTCTTGTCCTATCCTTCACCACGTGCAGAATTTAATCATCCTTAACAGTGATCGAATAAGTTGCAGCTTTATCAACAAAATTTTCTCAACGGAATTGAGTAAATCGCTCCTGGGTCCAGCGTTTATTTTCATCATTCTCACTGTAAAACAGCAACACATATCATATATCTCAGGAAACTTCACACATTTTCAAATTAAAATAACAACAATATTACATATGCGACCCACTTCACTGTCCGGAATAACCAAGTAAAGCCAGTTTGCTCTCCATCTGATCCCTCCAACGAAGTGGAGTTCGTCCTTTTCCCCTTCTTCTACCAGTGGTGTACTTTGTGGTTAAAAAGATAAAAGTATTGCTAGCGGTTTATGAAAATTGAAATTAATTTGAGAAATATATTATGCAAAAAAGGCTAAAAGTCAAAAGCAGCATACCAAATCAATAAGCCAGTTTTTGAAAGTGGCCAAGGTGCAAGGTACAGCTTCAACACTTAATGGATTTGGGTGGTCCCCAGCTTGACATGCGTGCATATCTTAAAAATTAGTCATATGCAAATATATATGAATTTTTCTTTCACCATCGAATACTTTTCAAATTCAAATTAGTGTAGTTAATGACCATAGCAATATCTATATATACATATATATAGGCATCTATTGTACTATGAATTCCAGCATAATTGGCTTGTAAGGCGAACGCTCCGTCATTTAATTTATAAATTTTAAATTTGAAAAAAAAAAATTGTAATGCATTTCATATCTTTAAATATAAAAGTATTCACAAGATGTCTGATTGTATCATATCGTCATGTTGTCTTATTTTTTTATGACTATCATATAAGCACTGTTGTTGTTTCCCATACAAATTTGAAATACAACAAATACAATATCTGTAACCGTTAATTTTTTTTAATGACGTTAAACTGCCATTTTTCCGAGCGCCTGTTAAAATTTAACTTCTCTTTGTACACGTTTTTAGAATGTGGCTGTTAAATTTAACAGGCGGTCGAAGCGCTGGCTAACAATTCATTTTTTCGACAGCGACATATCTTCTGTTTACAAATAAAATCAGCTAACAGGTCAACTTGTAACCTATTTTCTTTTGCCGTAATGTAAAAATATAATGAAAAAAAACGGGTATTTCGTATTCATAAGCTTGGAGAAAGGTTTGAAGAGGCCTCTGTGCACCTTATTGCTAAGAGAGATTTAAGAGAATCTACTTTATTTACGTATACGTGTTGTTGTGGTTACCGCAAAAAATATTTCTCTAAATAATTTTTGGGGAATGTTGCGGTAGCGACAGTCCCTGGGCCGGATAAAAATTCCGGGTCGTTCCGGTAAAAATACCCGTCTATCGCGGGAACTATTGAATTTTAGTCGCCTCTTGAGAGAGGCATAGCTTACCGCGTGTAAATTCTTGAACGCCTAACCCGCAGGCGGGATTTACGTTATTCCTTTCTTCCTCTTCGCAGCACCGACACCTTTTATCTGACTGACATTAAATAAACATTTAACAGAAGGTCGAGAAAATGAAAATGAATTTATCATATCGTTAAATATAACTGACGGTTTCGTGATTCTCACATTAACAGGTACTCAAAAATGGCACTAAAATAAATAAATAAAATTAATTTCATCAATTTCTTTAGCAATATGGAACGAAGTCAAGATATTCAGGTAAATTAAGTTCAATAAAAGGGAAATAGAAAAAGATTTTGTTGTCTATGTTTTAGCAAATTATTTGAATGCAGTGTAAACCAAAACGCCGCAGCTTCAAGCCGGCGTGGAGTGCAGCAGAAGAAAGTCATAAAAATTAGCAGTATTTTGCTTTTGCTCGCTGTCCATGTTGTTATTGCTGTTAAGTATTCAAATCTACTACCAACAAATGGTAAATCCAATTCGAACAAAAGTGAAAAGAAGTCTGATGAGGAAACTTGATGTTTTAGCAACTATAACTTCTACCGTTCAAAACTATTATTGTAATTTTTTCACTATTTCCAAAAAATATATAGCCTGAAATAGTTCCATAAAAACCAAAAAAATAATTTAACAGAATAATGACCTGAAAAAGCATCTAGGAATTTCGGAAGAGCCTTGCAGAGCGAATGAAATTTGCAAATACTAAAAAAGGCGTTGCCTTAAAATATTTGTTGTTAAATTTTTCGCGAAAATAACCACATATCGTGGATATGTAGGTAAAAGAAAAGGCCAAAAACAACAATAAGTAAAAGCGGCACACATTTAGTTAAATGAGACAACCATTGGCCCGTGCTGTGGGCATCCAAGTTCAAATACAAATCGGACAAATGATGAGGAAATGTGGCGGTTTCTGAAAACCTCCAAAACAATTGTTGTAATTTTTTCATTACTTCCAAAAAAATATTTAGTCTGAAACAGTTCCATAAAGAACCCCAAAAATGGCAAATAAGTTCAATGAGTGCAAAAAATTGTTATAGAGAATGTGTAGCCGATTAAAAGAAGCTAATGAGAATGCCAGCATATCAGTTGGCTCAGGTTGGACAAATTAAAAAAAAAAATTGGGAGCACGAGGCGTGTGACAGCAAAGTTCCATCGGAATTTGTACAAAAAAGCAAATACCTGAGCATTGCTCATGACTGATGACGAATCAACGAAATCTAGTTTTGAAATCCAAGCCAAAGCTCAACAGTTCCAATAAAAGAACTCAGTCGAAAAAATTAATCAAAAAATGTCAAAATATTGATCATCGGTTTCTGTCATTACTAAAGCAAAATCATCAAAAGTTTTTGCCGCATAACTGAATTGCGGTTAATAAGGAGTGTTGCCTTGGGTCGTGCGTGGAGCAAAACGAAAAAATGATTTCAAAATTGCGTTTTAAAGACAGTGCACCTACTCACTCACTAAGGCTTATTTTTCCAAAATCAATACTTTCAATCACCTCATTCACTCGTTGCCTCCCATTGTGTTTGTATACTTTATTACTTTACAATTGAGGAAATAACAACCGAATAGCCGAAAGAGCTCAAAGGCAAGCCAATAATTTATAGCTGAATTTTTTAAAGGAAATTAATAACAACGCTGGTACAGACTGGACTTACCCTAAAGTAAGCGAAATTGAAATTTTTTAGAATATGAACACTCAACTGTATTTTTGATGTCTATGTTGTAACACTTTGAATTATATTCCTACACTGGGATTGATTAGTTTGATTTTTATTCTAAAAGTATTTTATGTGCTACCACGCCAATCTGATGTCTTTATTTCGAGACATCTTAGAATATTCTCTTTGAATACATGAATTCTGTTATTTAGTCCTCCTAAATTTAGTACAACAACCTGACAAGCCCTTCCCCAACTGAATTTCATGGGGATCGAAGTCTATATATCATTGTCATCGTATATCTCATGTTGTTTAACATGAAATCGTCTGCGACTGCCGTTGATAGTACACAAGGAAACATAAGTATTTCGAAAACACCTTTTTTTTTAATTCCTCACGGTGTTGTCATCGCTAACGCTTCGGCAAGGTGGGTTAATAAGCTAATAGCGTAACTTGATCGTTGTTCATCAAAAAAGGACTTTATTTCTCTATGACCTACCCTGTCTAAAGGAGCATCTATTCGAAAAATTAATTTCAATTAATTTGTCTGACCCCTTATTTAGTAGGGAACAGCACTCTGACGTTGCTTCTGAAGTGCCCCTCAGCTTACGCAGCAGTTATAGTTTTGTGGTCGAAGATTTGTCTATCATTATTTACACAGCTCTCTAGGCAGATGAG